TCTCACCAACTCGTTGAACACTGCTTCGAGAATGTGTTTGATTTCATTTAAAATTGGTTTGATATTTTATAAAGCTTTGTAAGGCTAACAGTGAGAACATCCGGCCGATGTGTGATCGATCCAGAATCGGTATTGTGCCTTAGTAATTGATCGTTGGTACAGACGCGCTATTTGAATCCGCCGCTGCAAATGCTTTAATAAACGCCCTTAAATAAAGCGAACACAGGTTTCAAAGCGGGTTGGCAATAAATATTTATTTGTGAGGTGAATGGCGAAATTGAAATCTTTGCCTACTTATCCCCTTTCTCTGTTTAAACGCACAAAGGTCTGTGCTGCCATTCTAAATTAGATACACAGGAGTGTATTACTAACTCGCCTTTCTCTCTGCCGATCTTTTATTTGCAGGATTAGGACATCTTATAATGCCATTGTGAGCTGTTCAAATGGGTTTGAGACCACTTAAAACGATCCTAAAGATCGGCGCAGCTTTCCTCTTGTTCCACAGGATAGCGTGATTAAATGACATCAATTCGTAGCGCGTCTGAATCCACCCATGGCAGACATTTGCCGACTCTCAGCTTGGATAATGCCAACTATAGATTTGAGCTAGGAATTAGGGAAAATTAAATGATTCCGTTGTCGGTTTCGTTGGAAATTTACCAACCATGCTAAATTGGTTAATTAAGACATGGTGCGATATGCTACACGGGTGATACTAATTGCTTATGTTTAAGCAGTAACTTCCCACATTTAATTGTAACTAGGACGACTGTAACAATGGTAACCAGATAAAAACATTTCGGCGATGATGGAATATGTCAGAATAACAAAAACATTATCCTTTCTCAAAAACATTTTAACAACTCTCCGTCTTAATATTATTCAGGGACGAGTCCAATGACAGAAACGCTATGTTCGTACCAGTTATGTCATATCCGTGTACTGTTGGCAATTGCCGCGAATTATATAAAGTAAGTAAAACCTTACAAAACTGTGCTGTGTTACCCCTAAAAGTTATTGTTTTGTCGTAAGTTTTCCATCATTTGTCCGTCAGCTGGTACTGTTATCGTCACACTCTCAATAAGCTCAATTCTTATTCTGTAAATTATAATACCTATTATATCATATTGCTGCAAAACATACGCATATGACAAAAGCTACCGGCAGCTGCGTTTTTACAATTTAATTTAATTTTGCACTAGAATTAAAAATTGTGTGTTTTCTAATTTCATTTAAACTATTTTTTCTATTTTACCCGATCATCCATGTTGCGATTCACTGAGTATCTACCGTTGACACTATCAGATAAATTGACAATGTGTTCCAAACAATCCTCCAACCATGACCTTGGGCAGGCTATTCAAAACAGTCGGTTCAACATATCTAACTTCGTCTTTAAAAACAAAAACAAATTCGGCTTCTTGTTGCCGACTTTCGACAGTGATGTGTCCCTTAGCTAAACATTCATGTCGGGGCTTTAAGTCTGTTTTTGTACCTGTTTACAAAAACGTCCCCTGTGAAAACTAGACGCTTTCATCTCCACCGAGTGGTTTATAGAATACAGCTTAAGTTTAATTACTATTTTCAACGCACCCAAATAGCAAAATGGATTCGGTTTTTAAATCAATAAATCCTTTTACCTGTGTTCAGCGGCAACCCTGTGAGAGCTCAAATTGGAAATTCCATTTTGTGTGTTCCTTTCTCTCTCTTTATTCGCCTTTTTTTACTCACATGTCTGTTTGGAAAGTCGCGACGTTGTTACTGCGAAGCAAACAAACTTATAAGCTAGCTAGTTCTTATTGCTAACTATTGTGTACGGATTCTTCTTAAGATCAAGAGGCGTTTGATTTGGGAAAACGCGCAATTACGTTCTATAATGTACAATCTTAACGCGAAAATGGACAATTGAACATAGCGTTCAAGTTTAGGAATGCTAAAAAAGGACTACGTTATCAACTCGGCTACAAAACCGAGTGTGTATTTCAGTGCTCATTTATGAATAAGTGGGCGAAAATAAATAAAAACAACCCTCCTTTTCGCACAACTGACTACTATTTACAAATGATAAAAATACTCGATTGTAACAACCATGTACACGTATAGAGGGAGGGGGTCGCGCTTGTTTCCATAGAAACACATTTCATTGAGCGGACGCCATATTGGATTTTAAATATTGCTATACCAAATAACGTAAAAATCCAGCGCTTCGGGACACCCCCAAATCTGTTCGTGCTCGTGGTTTTGCTTTATAATAATCAGTGAAATACACGAGTTCTTATCAAATAGAGACTATTTCTGTTTCCAATCAGATGAATGTATATAAACAAGCACATGAATTAACAGAGTGTTGACCATATGTTCGAGTCTTGCGTGCCGTTGTCTTGTTTGTGTGTATTTAACACGACGATGATTATCACTGCAAATTGTACAGCGTTCTAATGTGACACGACGACACAAGTGGTTTGTTTTAAATAGAAATGATATTGAATATTGTACGTAAAATACCGAAAATCGGATGAAAATATTTGTATTTAACAGCCGATGGAAATGACAAAATTGTTGTTTTTTTTGACAGGCATACACAAGGATGAGCCAATGTCACACATTGTCGCCCGATTAATAACCTTACTGTGTACCATGGACGACTATACTTACAATATTTCGTTCTAAGCTATTTATATCACCTTTTAATTAGTTCATAAAGTATGCATAATTACATCGTAGAAACATCGTAGATGGCGGACGAATACACTAAATGGATAAGGAAAAAGTAGTACCCATCAATCGCCGCCGAGTACGTCCAATGTTTATGCACGTGTGACTGGTACGAAACACTAGAATTACCGCAATCCACACAGGTAACATTCCACATTGTCGCTGCGTGCGCACGGGTGGGGTGGGGTGGTGTGGAGGGTTTACATTATCAAAAAATGGGGCGATGATTTTTTGTTTGTTTTATATTCGAATTGCATACTTCGATACAGGGAATCGAACCATAGCAAACAAAACGCCGGTCGTTACATGTGGGCGATGATCATTTAATATTGGCGTGGTTTGAACCGCGTGTATAACGCCGTAGCTCGGCGACCACTACAATGAATGCTAGCTCATTACGTAATGTATTTTCAGTAGTCGAAGCAAATGAAGAAACTATTACAGAATATCCGCAGACGTTGGGTGGAATGCTGTCTGCATGTACCTTGTAGCCGACGCGAATCGTCGTCGACCGGCCTATCTACACAGCGTCGGGTCTCTTTGTTCGAATATCAAACCGAATTCACCGATACGTCGCTATAACTACTCGTTATTTGTATAGGTGGTTGTATTACATTGGATAGTCTAATCAAATTAGAAGTAAAAAAGTCAAACCAAGCGATCATTTAATGCACGGTGTTGTTTCTACATTTATAAAAAAAATGTGTAGTATTATTTATATAACATTCATTTTGGGGACAAAATATCAATATCCCACAATATGTTTTTGACAGCGGCCTATATATGTACGTTTTTAACGAAATTATAATTTCGCGCAAAAACATTTTATATTTATGCGCGATTTATATATCTTAGCATTTTACTTGAATATCCACCTAAAAATGGACACATGCACGTGTCACATTTCATGTAGAAATAAGAAAACATTAAAATGTTCTATCGACGCCCAATAAAACATAGATTAAGCTTACTGTTTGTTATTGTTGCATTGATGTTGTTGTTGCAGGGAAATTCGTTAAATGTATAATATGCAGTACGCTAAGATTTAAGCTGATTTAAACTGTGTCATGTGTGAACCAGAACCGAACTATCATGTTTTGATTTGGAGATTTGTACGACCTATTATTAAAATGATAGTTACTGCATATCTGTGTTGACAGAGCAATTCTTTACGTTCTATCGTTCATCGGATTCTGTACATACCCTGTATACGCGTTAAAGCTCAGCCTGACGGCGGCGTTTCATAATGTTTGCATTCTCAGGAATGATTAGAAGGGATAAAAACCGTTCTTTATGTACTCGTTTCAGTTCCTGATAAACACGGTAATTTACACACAAACCGGGTGGAGGTTTTGTTCAATTGTCCAGGCAGTGGCTCTAACTTGCGATTGAAAGAAAAAATATAGACACTCACTTAGCCTGTGTGATGAAAGCCTGCTTTTGAAGCGATTCGTGTTATTTAGGCACGCAATGGCATAATCACATACCAATTTACCAAAATCCTGTTTCCATACGGAACTTTTTCAGCGGATAGATTATTTTAACGTTTTCATTTGTGTAGGTAATTCCTTCCATACGGAATTCTCTTCGGCGTTTCATTGCGATACCATTGGGTTGGGATATTACAAGCAAACCCTTGGCACGCAATCGTTATTTAGTTAGCCACATGCGTAAAAAGAGCATTCCGTTATTACTACCACTATCACAAAGATTTACTAATCTCGCGGAATAAAAGTGAACCATTCGCCATTGGTCGGGGATTACAACCATTAGTACTCTACATGTTCAAAGTCACTGTATCTGTTGTCATTTAAAAAAAGAGATAAACTCATGTTATATATATACATGACCGAAATGTCGTTTGCGATTTCTGTATTTTTAGTTTATGTTTATTAGATAAAGCACCTTCTTTGTCGTCGGTATTTATACAATTGAACGTAATTTATAGCGATAAATAAGAGTAGTTTGTCGCATCTTCACAATACCCTTGTTTTTTTTTCAATGGTTCGTTCTTTCCATGATCATTTTTTTTAATTTACCTTTGCATGGCGCGTCTTCTATTCATTTAAATTGTTTAATTTATTTGGCGTGTTATGAATTAAGCGTAAAATACGGCCAATGAGCTTAGTATTCGTGCCAGATTCACTGTTTGCTGTGCTATAAGCTGTTTTCTTTTCTATTCACTTGCATCGAACCATCTTGCAGTCCTGTATGCCTCACACGCAACCGCGTCATCGCACTCTATCTATCTATCACCGAGGCTCAACTCTGATGTATGCATCGCTAAGCGCTGTACCAATTCTCCACTGCTTCACCGCAAGTAAGTTGATTTTGTTTATACAATGGTACTTGATCGTCGATAATCGCACCCCCGTTTTTGAGACAACCAGCTAGCAAATGATCACGTGTGCTTAGCTGGTATTCTAATTGGCTTGTTATTATTGGTTGTTGTCCCAAACTGCTATAGAAAGAGGTGAAAGATTGAGAATTGTGTGAAATATAGTTAATGTAAACTAATTTTCAACGGAATATCATATTTAATTTATTTGTTCCCCGGGAACATTGATTTGTACTAGCATTGGTGGGAGCTCGTATTCCAGTAACATGCTTTAGTAGAGGTTGTTGGGAGAATGTATTTATTGCTAGCTCTGTCTTCAATGGGTTGGGTGTGTGTATTCCTATCTCTGTCTGCTGATGGATTGGTGTGGGTGTTCTTATTTCAGACTTCAATTGGGTTGGTGGGGGAACATGTATTCCTATCACTGTACTTAGTTGGGATTGTTTTTTCAGTGAGATTTTTTGAAGTGAATTTATTTCTATTCCTATGAATGTCTTTAGTGGGGATTGTTAGAGCCGTGTTTCTATATCTGTCTGCAAAGGGACATATTAGGGGTATGTATTCATTTGTTGGTAGTATATATTCCTTCTTTGTCCTCAGTTGGGTTCTATATCTGTCTTTACCAGTGTTTGTCGATGTAACAGAACGACAAACAAACAGAAATATATTACAATTGTTATTGTAATTACCGATCACATATGAATGAAACATAATTTGCTATATACTCTATATTGTTTCATTTCATTAGTCTTGGATTATGAGTATGTGACTGAAAGAAGCTGAATGAAATTGCAAAATATGTACTATGTTCAAAAACTTATGTATTAATAATAACTAATAATTAATACAATTTTACTGTATTTTGTATCCACAAAAACAAAAGAATTTCACAATGTCGTTAACGGAATATCTTTATCGTACTGTTGTGTAATTCTATCTTAGTCTCAAGTGCATGTTGGGGGTATGTATTTGTATTTCTGCCTGCAGTTGGTTTAGTTGGGGGAGGGTCCTATTTCTGTCTTCAGTGGGATTTGAGGGGAATATGTATGCCTTTTACTTTCGTCATTGGGGTTTGAAGGGTTTGAGGGGTCAAATATTGCTATCGTGGGGACTAGAAGTGCATGGCCACTTTTGTGGTGTGGTGTCTACTCTAAACATTCTCATTGTTTTAATATGTCAACGTTTTTTCAGTGCAACACATTGCATACATGTGTCTTCCAGTCAATGTATCAATGTAATTCTATTGCATTTTTTCAGTGGGTACGTTTTGTTGTATCTGTCTGCAGTTGGATTTGTAGGGTGCATGTTCGTAAGTAGGTATACCTATCTTTCTTGCCAGTGAGGTAAGAAGTCGACAATTTGGAATCGAATGGCACATTCAAGAAAAAATAAGATGTTCAGACAAGAGGCCACTAAAAAGAAATTGCACACTCGTCCAGTGACCCCAAAATTTCAAATGTTTGACCCCAAAATTTGAAGTATGTATTACTATCTCTGTCTGCACTGGGGTATGTATTACTATCTCTGTCTGCACTGGGGTATGTATTACTATCACTGATGTATGTATTACTATCTCTGTCTGCACTGGGGTATGTATTACTATCTCTGTCTGCACTGGGGTATGTATTATTATCTCTGTCTGAACTGGGGTATGTATTACTATCTCTGTCTGCACTGGGGTATCAATTACTATCTCTGTCTGCACTGGGGAATGTATTACTATTTCTGTCTGCACTGGGGTATGTATTACTATCTCTGTCTGCACTGATGTATGTATTACTATCTCTGTCTGCACTGGGGTATGTATTACTATCTCTGTCTGCACTGGGGTATGTATTATTATCTCTGTCTGAACTGGGGTATGTATTACTATCTCTGTCTGCACTGGGGTATCAATTACTATCTCTGTCTGCACTGGGGAATGTATTACTATTTCTGTCTGCACTGGGGTATGTATTACTATCTCTGTCTGCACTGAGGTATGTATTACTATCTCTGTCTGCACTGGGGAATGTATTACTATCTCTCTCTGCATTGGGGTATGTATTACTATATCTGTCTGTACTGGGGTATGTATTACTATCTCTGTCTGCACTGGAGTATGTATTACTATATCTGTCTGCACTGGGGTATGTATTACTATCTCTGTCTGCACTGGGTTATGTATTACTATCTCTGTCTGCACAGTGGTATGTTTTACTATCTCTGTCTGCACTGGATCATGTATTACTATCTCTGTCTGCACTGGGGTATGTATTATTATCTCTGTCTGCACTGAGGTATGTATTACTATCTCTGTCTGCACTGGGGTATGTATTACTATCTCTGTCTGCACTGGGGAATTTATTACTATCTCTGTCTGCACTGGGGGTATGTATTACTATCTCTGTCTGCACTGGTGTATGTATTATTATCTCTGTCTGCACTGGGGTATGTATTGCTATCTCTGTCTGCACTGGGGTATGTATTACTATCTCTGTCTGCACTGGGGTATGTATTGCTATCTCTGTCTGCACTGGGGTATGTATTACTATCTCTGTCTGCACTGGAGTATGTATTACTATTTCTGCTTGCACTGGGGTATGTATTACTATCTCTGTCTGCACTGGGGTATGTATTACTCTCTCTGTCTGCACTGGAGTATGTATTACTATTTCTGCCTGCACTGGGGTATTTATTACTATCTCTGTTTGCACTGGGGTATCTCCGTCTGCATTGGGGTATGTATTCCTCTCTCAGTCTTCATTGGAGAATGTGGGAAGGATGTCTGTATTGGGGTATGTGGAAGGTATTCCTATCCTCGTGTTCATTGGAGTATTTTGGGAATATGTCTGCAGTGGGGTATGTGGAGGGTATTCCTATCCCTGTCTTCATTGGAGTATATGGGAAGGATGTCTGCAGTGGGGTATATGAATGGAATTCCTATCCCTGTCGTCATTGGAGTATATGGGAAGGATGTCTGCAGTGGGGTATGTGGAGGGTATTCCTATCCCTGTCGTCATTGGAGTATATGGGAAGGATGTCTGCAGTGGGGTATGTGGAGGGTATTCCTGTCCCTGTCTTCATTGGAGTATATGGGAAGGATGTCTGCAGTGGGGTATATGAATGGAATTCCTATCCCTGTCGTCATTGGAGTATATGGGAAGGATGTCTGCAGTGGGGTATGTGGAGGGTATTCCTGTCCCTGTCTTCATTGGAGTATATGGGAAGGATGTCTGCAGTGGGGTATATGAATGGAATTCCTATCCCTGTCGTCATTGGAGTATATGGGAAGGATGTCTGCAGTGGGGTATGTGGAGGGTATTCCTATCCCTGTCTTCATTGGAGTATATTGGGAATATTTCTGCAGTGGAGTATGTGGAGGGTATTCCTATCCCTGTCCTCATTGGAGTATATGGGAAAGATGTCTGCAGTGGGTTACGTGGAGGGTATCCTATCC